AAATAATTTTGGAAAAGAGGTTTGATTTGAGTGGGGAATTATTGATGTGACATTTGATATGTGATACAAAAATTTACAACTCATAACTAAACATACAACTCAAAATTATTTTAAAGCATATAAAAAATTTAAAAATTTTCAGAAAATATTTTTCCCGATTATATAAATCAATTGCAAAAAAAAAAAAAAAAAAAAAATCATTGTTTCGGACAGCCAGCCGGTCAACCGGTCGGACGACCGGCCGGCCGTCCCGTTCCCTCAAACGCCCCCTCTGCAACAAACAGAATGCTTTGACATATAGACAGAGCTTCTGGCAGAGTTTTGGAAAATTAATTCCAAAACTCTTACCAAACATCATGCTCAAACTCAAGTGTTGAAAACTATTTTCAGAGCACAAACAAACAGAGCCTGAATTTTTCAACCCTAATTTTTTTCTTGTTGAAAAAGAAAAAGAAAAAAAAAAATTACTTGAAGAAGTTGGATTTGTTGGGTGCAGCTTTCCACTAGACTTGACCAAGTGGCCAACACCCACCAAGTCTGCTGATGAGACATTTTCTTAGCGTCTGTTCATATTTAGGAATACAAAAAGATTTGTGCATGGACGATTTCTATGCCATGTGGGAGGAATGGGTCTCATGTCTTTCTCTCTCGTCTCATGCCTTGTTAATTTTCAAGCAATTCAACAACCAAAATGGTAGTTACACACACAGAAATATAATACATTTAATGATTGTGTGATTAAAATTTATTTTAAATATAAATCTTTCAATATATAAATGGAATTGGAATTATATACATTTTTAAAGTCATTTTGTGTACATCAATTAGTGCATATCTTTATTGCTCCAAAAACCACTTTGATACCTCAAGGATGATATTGATTAGTTCGGTAAATCTTGAATTTATCAATTAATTTGTATAGAAAAAAATAAGGCAAACTTTATTTTACCTTTCTATAGTTGGAGCCATGTGTGATTAATTTATCAATCAATTAATTTATCAATTATTTTATCTTTTAATCTTTAGAAATGATCACATAATCTTTGTCATTTGTGAACTGAAGTGCATTGTTAAACCCATTAATGATTTAATGAAAAAAATTAAAGGGTTGTTTGGAATGTTCTAAATAAGTGCACTTTTTAACTTTTTATAAAATATGAGTTGAGTTTGAAATGATGTAGTAGAGAGGTGATGTGACTTTAATAAGATAGTGACTTTTTGACTTTTTTAGGACACCCCAAACAAGGCGTAAAATACCCCTATATTTTCGTCATTGTTTGGAAGGTAAAAGGCACTTTAATCCCTGTATTTTATTCTATGTGCAATTTATCCCCTTAAACTTTGCAAATGAGCATATAACCCCCTTATGTCTTCGATATTTTCACACTTGCAGCTAAGTTTGAAGAAATTTTTAACGGTATATTTCAATCCACAAACCACGTGAGGGTTATGTGATCATTTCTAAATGTTATGGTGGTAAATTACATATGATCCAAACCATAAGGGATAAAGTGAAGTTTGTCCAAAAAATAAAATATAAAATTCCATCTAAAAAAACTAGACAAATAAAAAAAATAAGCAATATATATTATTTTAAAGGTTTAAATAAAACATTTGTTATAGGACCTAAAAATTATTTACAATTTGGTTTTTTTAATATTCTAAATTTATTAAAATAAAATCTACTAGTTGGTCTTGCTTTTTTGAGTTATTACCTATTGGGTGTGTTTGTTTTGAAGGATTAGGGTGTGGAATTGGACTATTTGTCCTACCAGAATAATAGTCCATTATTTGTTTCAAAAGTTTTGCTCCAGACTAATAGTCTCCCCGGACTATTAGTCCCATATCTGTGGGATTATCATATCCCATGGGGGGTGGGATAGAAACTATGGGATAACTCATCCTATAGAATTAGACAATAAAATTACATTTTTTTCCCTCTAGTATTTAATTATGTATTATATTTAGTAAAATTCAAAAAAATTTAAATGTCTCAATTTAAAAATAAAATAAAATAATTTAATTTAATTTTTATTTTTGTTTAATTTATTTAATTTTTTAAAATGTTTTTTTATAGATATTTTATTGATGTTTTATTTTAAAATTTTGTTTATATTTTATTTAATTTCATTATTTAAATTTTAATAGATGTTTTATTTTATTTTATTATTTAATTATTATTATTATTTAAAATAAATTTATTTAAAATTTTAATTAAAAAATAACATTTATTTTTATTTTTATTTAATTTATTTAATTTTAAAAAAAATAAAATTATTTAATTGTGCAAAAAATAAAATAAAATAAATTTTTAGTAAATCTAGCTAAAAATAATTAAAATATTAAAGCTATGTTTAATATTGCTATTACTTAGTAAATAATTGAAAAGGATAAAATAGTCATCTGAGCATTTATCATTTTTCATAATATCTCAAACAAATACTGGATTTACTAAAAATAGTCCAATCCAGATATCTAATCCCATAACTAAACAAACATAGGATACAAATCCAGTCTAACCAAATAGTCTGGGGACAATGTATCCTAAGACTAATAGTCCGATGGATTACAATCCCCCCTTATCCAGTCCGTCCAAACAAACACACTCATTACGTACTATCTTATATTTTTATGCACCATTAAGTCCTATTATAATTTTCTTTCTCATCTTTACCCATACTTTGTTTTGTTGTATTTATTTATTTATTTTTTATAGTTCCCGTTTTGTTTTTGAACTCCAAATTGCGAACCACGATTTGGCCACCAACCACCACTTCCGACAGCTAGCGACCACCTCTGACCTTCCACGACTATTATTGACCTCCGGTAACTACTTCCGACCTCTAACAATATTTTTTTTGGCCATTTTTCATCTCTAACACATCACTACTGCAACCTACTCAAATCCGGTGGCGATAAGAGAAAAAGAGAAAAAATAAAATAAAAATGAAGAGAATGAAGGAGAGAGATAAGAAACCATTACTAAAGAATAATTCTCATCATTTTACGCTGTCACAAATCAAGACAAAGAATCAAAAGTTAGATTCAGTGATAGATTTATCATGCAACAAATCTCAGTCAGAGTTACAGTGAAAAATTTATCACTGTTAAATTTGTTAAAAAATTTACAAATAGTAAACTTGATTTGAGAGAGAGGGGGGCATCACAACATTCTATTATAAAGCATTGATAACTTCTTCTTGTTTTCTTTCTAGTTTCTCATTTTTTTTTGAACTCCAAATTGTGAACCACGATTTGGCCACCAACCACTACTTCCAACAACCAACGACCACCTCTGACCTTCCATGACCATTATTGACCTTCGGCAACTACCTCCGACCTCCGACAATATTTTTTTTGGCCATTTTTCATCTCCAACACGTCACTACCGCAACCACCTACTCAGATCCGGTGGTGATAAGAGAAAGAGAAAAAAAAAATGAAGAGAATGAAGGAGAGAGATGAGAAGCCATTACCAGAGAATAATTCTCATCATTTTACGCTATCACAAATCAAGACAAAGAATCAAAAGTTAGATTCAGTGATAAATTTATCATGCAACAAATCTCAGCCATAGTTGCAGTGATAAATTTACCACTGTTGAATTTGTAAAAAAAAGTTTACAAATAGCAAACTTGATTTGAGAAAGAGAGGGGCATCACAACATTCTATTATGAAGCATTGATAAATTTATTTATTTTGTATATGCCCTGTCATTCCATTGATAAAATACCTACACTTACACCTACAAATCTATAATTTGATAAATTTATCATTCATAAATTACTGAGTGATAAATTTATCACTTTATCACTGAATTAAGTAACAAATTTATCAGATCAGTTACACGTCTGTAGAAAATCAACAACACCTTTCAATGCACTGATTGGATACTTTGCATCCCAAACTGGTGATAGATAAAGATGGTGGCAATGACAATATCGAAGATGGTAGATCGGTGATGGAGGAAGATGGTAGCAACGACGATGTCGAAGATGGTAGATCGATGATGGAGGTTTGCGGTGATGAAGCTAGCAGATGAATTATGGGAGAGGAACAACAGTGATAGCAATGAGGGAGACAGACAGTGGTGTTAGGTGAGGGATGAGGAGAACGACGGCGTTAGTTGAGATGAGTGTTGTTGACAATGATAGATGAAGATGGTAGTTGAGCCGAGCGACATATATGGTGATGGAGGAGGATGAGGAAGAGGAGATGGTGTGCCAGTGACAGAAATATGAGAGAGAGAGAGAGAGAGAGAGAGAGAGAGAGAGAGGGGATGTGTTTGGGTTTAGGGTAAAATCACTTAACTGAATGTAAAGGATAAAAATGAAAGATGAGCTAAATTATTTTGGGTCAGAACTTTTTGGAAATTAAGGAGTGGTTTGGGATGTTCTAAATAAGTGCACTTTTTGACTTTTTATGAAATTTGGGTTGGGTTTGAAGTGATGTGATAGAGAGGTGATGTAACTTAAATAAGATAATGAGACTTAAATAGGATAGTGACTTTTTGACTTTTTAACTTTTTTAATATATGCCAAACAAGGCCTAAGTCCGGTTTGAACCGGCCTGTAACTCCCCCAATAATCTAATTTTCATTGACCCAAAAAAAAAATTTTAAATAATTATTGGTTAAATTAATTTTTAATATCCAAGTACATTTCAAGTTAATTGTACTTGTAGGATTGGATTTGGAATTGCTATATTGGGCCTGATGTTGGGTCGAGCCAAATTAGGCGTAAAGCTTTTTATTTGTTTGCCAGGTAATATTGGCTGAGTCCAGAGTAACGTACATGCCATTAAAGCATCAAACAGTAGGTCTGTAGTCCCAACCCAACCAACCTTACTTGCGCTGAAAAGGCTTGCACTACACTCTTACGTACAAAAAAAACGTGACTCCATATGAGTTTGTTACACTACAAGTGAGAACACAATTACTTACAGTACAAAACAAAAATCAGTGGCTGAGATCAAATCTTACAAACCATCATGATCTGCAATCACACCATCCCCGGAGTGGGGGACACCATCTCACAGAACCCAGCATTTCCCAAATCCACACCATCCATCTCACACCGATTGATCTGAGCCAATTCAACCGCAGCCGTCTGATTGACACTTCGGAACGGTGACGACAGCACATGAACCGCGATCTTGAGGTTATACACAAAATCAAAGCTCTTGACCTTTTCGTAGTTGATCCTCATAGGCGCGAACGGACCTCCACCGCCCGCGGTGGTGACCACCAGACTCCGCCCCCACTCCATCGTCGGCAACACCGTCGCGGCCGGAAAACTCACCAGATCCGCCGCCATCAACCGCCGGTTCGGCACAATGTGGAGTCCCAAATCAGAGACGTAAGAGTTGCCTTTAGCGAAGATCGATTCATCGTCGAGAGCGAACAAAGTGAGAGCTCGGAGATCCAAGAGCTCCGAGTACTTCACTCTCAGAGCCAGTGCGAGAACGCTGAAGCCGCTGATTCGGAGGCGGAGCATGGCGTCTTTGAGCATCAGGCGCATGATATAGAATCCCCCCATCGGCGGCGGAGGAGGAAAAGAGAGCGAACTCATTCGCTCGATGTTGCACGAAATCGGCGAGAGATGAGAAACGAAGCCTCGAAGGCGGTGAATAACCACGCGATCGTCGTTGTAGAGGTCCGGATCAGTGATCTCCATGCCGCCGACGAATACATTGGAGCTGTTTTCGTCGGAGGTGATTGTGATGCATCGGCTGGAGGCTAGGGTTTCGATTTTGGTGCCGAAGGCTAGCTTGCGGAGGTGGTGGAGGGGGTAGAGGCCAGCGATGGAGTGTTCTTGGAGGAGGAGAGGTACGGAGCAGGAAGGGCAGGTAAGGAGTGAAGAATCGGCCGGTGCGAAGATGGTGGCGGGGCCTCGCAATTCGGCGGCGGCGGTGGTGGAGTGATTTTCTGCGGCGGCGTCGGCCAGTTGTAGGAAGCCGAGTTTGGCGAGAATGGGGCCAAGGAGAGCTGGTGACGATGATGATGGAGGAAACGGTGATGATGGAGAAATCGATGAAGACGAAGCGTTGTCAATGGCGGTCACGGTTGTGGTAGAGATGAAGGAGGAGGTTAGGATGAAGAGTTGCAGCAGTTGCAGAGGAGTAGCCATGGTTCGGTGTTTACGATTGTAGGGAGAGAAAGCTTTTATGGAGGGAGATTTTAACATTTTAAATGTAACGATAAATTACACTCGCCTCCCTCATATATTTGAAAATATATATATATAAATTTTTATAGTTTTAATATAAAATTAAAAAAATATATTTTAAAAGCATTTATTTAGCTAGTACTAAATAGAATTTTCTTAACAAAAAGAAAAGTTATAAAATTTTGTAACAAATTTTCAAATGTCTATTGCGAGCTCGAAAAATTGATGGCTCGATTGGCTCGAAATTGAAAACGACGTTGTTTTTAAATTTTTTTTACTTTTTTCCCCCTCTCCTTAAACAGGGAAAAGGGAAAAGAGAGAAGGGAGAAGAGGGAAGAGAGAAGGGAGAATAAGCGATCAACCTCTAAGTGCGATTGTTGTTTTGATTCTGAATCTGAGCGTTGGGAAAGGAGATCAATGGATTAATCAAATCTCTGGAGCGCTTTTTTGAAACAGGAAGAACGTAGGTAAGACTGCTATCGGCCTTCATCGTAGTCTTCGCCTGAAGAGAATCAGTGATCACAGAACTATACATTGGAAGCAGAGTTGATTTTTTTGGTGATTTGTGAGATTTTTTTGAGTTTTTTATTTAGATTTAGATTTAGATTTTCATGTGGGTTTGTTGTTGGGTTTGTTGATTTAGATTTTAATTTTGATTTTCATGTGGGTTTGTTGATTTTTTTTTTGAGTTTTTGTTTTTGTTTTTGATTTTGGTTCCTCTGTTTCTGGGTTTGTAGAGCACTGTTGCTGGATTTGTTGATTTTTTTTTTTTTGAGTTTTTGTTTTTAATTTTGATTTTGATTCTGATTCATCTATTTCGAAGAGTAGAGCAGAGCAGAGGGGAATGAAGAAGAGAGGGAAAGGAAGAAGAAAGGGGAAGGAGAAGAACAAAAAAAATATAAATAAATAAAATATCAAAACGACGTTGTTTTGAAATTCAGGACAATCGAGCCACAGTAATTTTGGGCTACGTAGCGGGATTGATATATATATTAATATAGAGAATATAACAACATTATTATTATTTTTATTTATTTTACTAACAAATAATTGATAAAAAATAATACTAAATATTATACAAATTAACACTTTAACCTAATAATAATTTAATATAATTATATTACTAAAATTATAGGGTATTTTTTTCTAATTTTTAAAAAAAACCTCATGAGAGGTGTAATTTACCTTAAATGGAATGTTGTGCCGGGCTTGGTGGGGGAAAAAATAAAATAAAATAAACAAAATGAAAATTGATGGGCATGCTTAGTAACAATTATAAATTACAATTCATTTGGTTATAAAAGAAAATTGTTAAACAATAATGTTAACACTTAGGGGCGAGCATGGTCTAGATTGGACCGGATTTGGGTAAAATCAGAACCAATCTGTTATCTACGGTTCCTGAACAATTGGAACCAATCCAATCCGTTTAAATCATGGAATCAATCTGAACCAATCTATTTAAACACGGATTGAATCGGTTTAGGACCGCAGATTTACATAATTAAATAACAAAAAAATATATATAACACTTTAATTTCATAAAAATATAAATATAACACCATATTAGTTTCACAATAGCAACATGTCTTTTCATAATAGCGACATATTGTTCTAGAATTTAAACAATCATAAGAAAATTGGTTCCACCATAAGTATTTAGACCATTACAAATTAACGCTAAGAACTAACAAACAAAAGTAATAAAAAAAGATACTATGCGAGTTTAGGTTTGGATTTAAGTTTTATATGAAATAAGAGAAGATACTATGGAGGAGGGTGTATAATAAAAATATAGACTATTTGTATACGGTCCGGATCGGTTCCAATTCAGAACCGTGGGGTTCAATTCGGAACCAATCCGTGAACTACGGATTTTAAAATTTTCAATTCGGAACCGAACCACGGATTCAAAAAACCAATCCAAATCCACTAGATTGGATTGGACTGGATCGGATTACGAATTTCACGGATTCCTTACTTAGTCCTATTAACACTTTGTTACAGTATATGCAATTATTAATTTGTATCAATATGAATTTTTCATTATAAATGTCATAAATAATAAAAAAATAAATAAAATTGACATGATATACATTGCACATCTATATAACAATGGAAGGTTGATTTTGAATTCAAAATTGAAAATGTCTATGTCTCATTCTCATTTGTCCTACAAGGACATTTCAATGGTTGAGATCAATATTGTTATTCACTCTGGATGGTACAGATTTAGCCTTTGCTCTTCTTCTCTCCTCTTTCATCTCTGCCCAAATCCTTCCTCTTTCTCATTTCAGAGATATCCTTCTCTTTCATACGCTCTTCTCTCTCTCCCTCTTCATAGAATTCCTTTTGTTTTCTTTTTGCTTCACTCACAAAAAGAAAAACAGAGTGTTGGATTTGTTTATATAGATTTTAGATTCGTTTGATTTCAGATTGGTTGTTGTTGTTCAGGTTTTTCGTCAATCGGTGTTGTGTTTGAGAGTGTACATGCAAAGTCAGGGTTCAATGGAAGATCCAATGGTCGTCGATGCTGATGAATCGAAGAAAATGAGCAGCAACCTAGATCACGAAAACAGTGCGACCAAGTCTCTCAAGAAGAGGAAGACAACTTCTTTTTCTTCTTCTTCTTCTTCTTCTTCTTCTTCACTGGTCCAGACATTGACCACAGAAGAGAGAGAGGCTCAAGTTAATGCCTTACGCGTATAGACGGAGGGTTTGTTCAAGTATTACAAAGAGGTTTCAGATGATAAAATCAATTTGGATTTGAATGGGTGTGGTTCGAGCAATTCGGCGATTGCGTACTTGCTCGAAGAGACCACTCTTTCGCTCTCAAAATTGGTCGATCAGATATATGAGAAGATGAAGGCGAGAGAGAGTGGCTCTGCTTCTGGGTTGTCCACCATTGTTGCTTTTGTGAAGAGCACTGTGCTTTTCATTGGTCAGAGATCTTTGTATGAAGTCCTTAATGCTGATGCTGATATCTTAGAGGATGAGACAGAGTCCTGCCTGCGGTGTTGGGAGGTGATAAATTCTATTTATTTATTTATATATTTGTGTTTTCAATTCATGGCTATATTCAATCTTTGTCTTTCTTCAACCATTTGAAGCATTTGTTGGGTATATTTCCTCTTCATTGTTTCTTAATTTTCAATGTCTACTAGATATCTGTAGTCTTTGGGAAACACTATGGTATACACTCCTTTTGAAGGTATCATATAAGCATTTGTTAAATCATTTCAGATTTGTGTCCTTCTAAAAACTTTCTAAGCTTCGGAGCATTTTTTCTTTTTCTTTTTGTTTCACTCAATGTCTACTATATATCTGTAGTCTTTGGGAAACACTATGGTATACACTCCTTTTGAAGGTATCATATAAGCATTTGTTAAATCATTTCAGATTTGTGTCCTTCTAAAAACTTTCTAAGATTTTTTTTACAAAAAACTTTCTAAGCTTCGGAGCATTTTTTTTTTTCTTTTTGTTTCACTCAAACATGCAAATTAAAGTTGGACCATGCTGAGTCATTTCCACCAATTGAAAGCTTCATAGAATTCTTTTTGTTTCTTTTTGCTTCACTCACAAAAACAAAAACAGAGTGTTGGATTTGTTTATATTGATTTCAAATTTGTTTTGTTTCTATGCTAGAGTTTGATTTGTTCTTTTTTTTGTTTTGTTTTGTTTTTTTTTTTTTTTTTTTTTGATTAATCCACATTTTCATCATCACTTTGTTTAATTTTAATTTTAATTTTAAAATTAAAAAAAAATTCAGAGGATTGCCCCGCTGGACCAAAAACAAAGTGTCGGTCATATTATATAGATTTCATATTTGTTTTGTTTGTACTCAATAATCAGATTTGTTTTGTTTCTATGCTAGAGTTTGATTTGTGTTAAATCATTGAGTCAAGCTTTAAGATATTCCAAAAACTTTCTAAATTTTTTTTTACAAAAAACTTTCTAAGATTTTCTATTTTTGGATCATAAATATTTTTTTAAAATTTTGAAAATATTTGTTTGAGTTTTATTTTTGTCAAATTTAAAAATAAATAAATTCTAAAAATGAAATTAAATAGTGTGAGAGTATGGACCTGTTTCACATGGAATGGAATTACGCAGTGAGTGTAATATTTATTTTTTGTTTGTTTCAATTTTGAAGACTTTTTTGAATCGGTATAAATATGTATTAGTCCATAAATCAGTAGCTTTTACCAAAAATATTCTGTCATGTTTGGTTGGTGAGTAAGTGGAGAAAATAGTTCATAAATATTTTTTAGCCTCAAATTTTTATTTTATTTTATTTTATTTTATTTTTGTTGAGTTTCCTTTGGCTAATCATAGATTACTGTATAATTTTGAATTTCCTTTGACTAATTATTAGTTTATGGTATCCTCTTTCTGTAATTTTGGATTAGTTCAAAATGAAATTTTATCATTTTTTATTGTTATTGGATTAAATGGAATTAGTTTTTAGACCTATGTTCTTTTGTCTAATCTTTTGTGATTATATAGATTTGCTACCAAGTGATTTGGAAAAAATATTTGATTGTCATATATGGTTAATTTTGTTTAAGGTTATTAAAAAAAACATTAAAAAGATTTTTTTATGGTTGTTGATTAGCATTGCTAATTTTTTGTTTCTTGGTGTCTAATTAAATTCAAATTTTCAAATTCTATCATTTTTATTGTTATTTTTTTATATTTTATATTTTATATTTTCCTCCTCTTTTAATTTTTTTTTTCTTCTCTTTATTCACTTAAGCATGGGATTTTTTATCAGAGATACATTTTGTTTCAATGATTTAGATTGTTCCATCCAAAATTCAACGATTGAGATGCCTTTCATTTCCCCCCAAAATGCGCTCCAATTTTCTACATTTGTTATAGAAAGACTCAAAGAATCTATAATTCTTTGAGGGCAATGAGTTTGCCACTTTACTGTTTAAGTTTGTTTGTTTGTCTTCCATTTGTTTTTATCTATTTATATTTTCTTTTATTTTTGTTTATGAATTAAGATGTTTTATATGAGTGCATAGAAGTGGCACACAAAGTTGATTTCTGATTTCCCACAATACACACTGCCTAAGAAAGGCCTTCATAACCATTATTGGACCATTTTTTCTTTTTTGTCAACTTTGTTTAGTTGAATTTATTTTTGCTTTTTGATCAAAACTTTGTTTAGTTGAATTTGAACAAGCCAAAATTGCACTATATGTTTCTTAGAGAGCACATAACATTATTTAAAGTGCAACTTTGTTTTTTGCACTGTTGGACATTGTCAACTTGGTTACCAATCACTGAGATTATATTTCTTTCTAATTGAGCCGAAGTTCAAATGAGACCAACCTGGGTAAGAATAATAGTGATGCTATAAGAAAGGAACAATTTTCTCCGAAATTATTTTGTGAATAAATTTTCCATGTACTACATAAAAGATTGGACAGGAGAAGATTAATCCCAATATTATTTCCTCCGTGCCTTTAGGCACAGGCATACATTTTTGAATCCTGATGGGACTTTTTTCTATCTATCAAAATATGCACCATTAGATTGATTCAATCCAATGGTTGAAAATGTCTTACGCTCATTTGTCCTACTTGGACATTTTAATGGTTCAGATTTTTTGGGTGGATACCAATGCTTCGAATCAGTTTTACATTTAGCTTTTCGATTCTTACCCTCAAGATTGAATCAATTCACACAGACATCTTCTCTCTCTCCCTCTCTCTGATTTTGATTTCAAAATTTAAAACTCCATTCTCTTTCACACTTCTTCTTCCCACCACACATCTTCCTCTTTCTACCAAGCTTTGTCTCTTTAGAAGTTTAATCTCCAGTGGTGATTTTCGGAATATAGCACCATTGAGGGGGGTGGGGGTGATTTATACCATCTGCCTCAATCTCTACCTCCTTTCTCTCTACATAGCTTCAAGGTAGAAAGCTATACTCCCTGTTGTTTTTTTTGGAAGAATGTGTGAGAATCTAGGGTTTTTATTTGGGTTTTGGATTTTGATATGATAATAAATATTTGCCTCCTCTCCCTCTCCCTCTCCCTCTCACACTTCCCCTCTTTTATTTGGGTTTGTTTTTCTTTTTCTTTTTCCTTTTTTTCTTTTTTTTGTTATCATTATGGAAACCATTCTTTCTCCCTCCTCCCATTTTGTAGTTATGTTTTAAACAAAGCTTTCTTTCCATTTGCATAAAAGATGGAAGCAAAATGGGACTAATGAGCAGTAGACCATGATAAAAAAAAATAGTATAACTCAAACTTTTTGCTCTCATTTGCTTTTTCTACTAGATTATTTTTTTCAATCTTTTTTTTCTTATGGAGCTTAGTAAAGGGTGTTGTAGTAGTCTTTGTAGTTTTTCTGTGAGTGATTTTGGTGAATGTAAAGTAGTGGAATGAAATAGAATGGATTGGTATGACCTATGAGAAACCTAATATAATGGCTTATTTGACTGACCCATGCACTGTACACCAGATTTCTTTTCTTACCATAAGAAAATGTTGGCTTGGCCATTACACATTTTGGTGATTGTTGGGCGTATGTGTTGAAGATTTAAACCAAAAAGAAAATGTACATAATGAGGATTGAAAAAATTGAAGAAAAAAACAAAAAAACAAAAAAAGGGAAGATAAATATAGATAAATCTCTTTTTTTCTTTTTTCCTTTTTTGGTGAACACAGATTAATCTTATAAACAAAATAAATGCCTTGCTTAAGACAACATATGTTGGTAAATTTTGAGTTACTTTGGGAATAACTTTGTGCTAAGTTTTGGAATCCCCTAAGTTTGAAATTGCTGAGTACAGGTTAGTATACATTGTTTGATATTTAATTTTTAATTTAATTTGTTGAGATTGCAGAGCATTTCTTGGTGTGCTTTATGTGGTGTTTAGTAATTTTTTTTTCTTTTTATTATAGAACGTTAACGAGTATACAATAGCGCTGATTTCTGTATTTTGTTTAGGAGGAGTTGTTATTTTATTTGAGTTCTGTACAGTATGTGGTACACGTAAAATTGTTACAAGTTCTTTAAGAAGAATAATATTTCTTTATATTTTCTTAGTATCTTTATCAAAAAATGACACGGATTTTATAAATTTCAACATAATATGTATAAATTACAACTGCATTTTAATCCCAACATTATTTACGCCGTGCCTTTAGGCACGGGCATACACTAGTCTTTAATATTATAAAAAGAAAAGAAAAGAATAAGTTCAATTTATGCATTTGTTAAATATTTTTGATATTACTAAGTCCAAGTTAAGAAAGTGCAATAGTACCATTCAAATTAGCAATTTCATATATATATATATATATATATATTGGCGTATGCCTGTTCTTAAAGGCACGGTGTAAATAATATTAGAATTAGAATATAATTGTAATCTCAATACTATTTAAATTTATTTTTTAATTTAATAAAATCACAAATTCATTATAAAATTTTGGAGTTCTCAAAAAACTCCTCACGAAACTTATTTTTTGGTTATATAATATATAACTAGATAAATAGATGTGCCTAGCATACATAAAATTTTCACAAGCATACATACAATACTGCTTTTGCTTATATAATTATATAAAAATTGCATGTATGCCCGTAATGTTCTAGTGTATTATGAGCACACATATAGGCCAAGTTTGGCATGACTTAAATAATACAAAAAGTCAAAAAGTCACTATCCTATTTGAATCACATCATCTTATTTAAATCACATCACTTCTCTAACACATCACATCAAACCAACCCAAACACAACTCATATAAGCCAATAAGTCAAAAAATACACTTTTTTAGAACATCCCAAACCAACCCATATTGTATGAAAATATGTGTAAAATATATTGAACAAAAAAGAGAAAATTAAAAAAAACAAATAAAGAAAAAAATAAAAATGGAAGAAAATAAAAAAATAAAAGAAAAGAGAGAGAAAGACGGGATCATGGAAGGAGAGGTGTGAGAAAAAGAGAAAGTAAGAGAGAGAGAAGTAGGAAAGTAGAAAATATTTGAATAGATCTGAACCGTTCAAATGTCTTAGTAAGACAAATATGTGTAAAATAAATTCAAAAACCATCCTACTTTATTATACATATATATATTGGTGTGTGTGGGCATTTTTGTTTTGCTGATATGTTTAGTTTCTTTTGTTTAAAAAATTTAATATCCATAACATTACCCCATATAATATGCTGAAACTTTGTAGGGAGTTTGGTTGTTAGTAAATGCTATAACTTCAAAAATAAATAAAAAATCAAGAATTAAAATTGCAAGATGAAGATCCGTACCTGTTTAGGGGAGACTGTTTAGGAACCCAAAATCATTTATCCAGTCATATAGGGCTGGTCAAAACAATAAATTGCAAAAACTCTTACTTTCTATATTTTTATATTATTCTAGACTATACGATTCTACGAAAATTAAAAAATTAAAAAAAATTCAGCAAAAGACAAAAATATGTCAACTTTTACCACTTTCTTGATAAAATGTAGCTTATTTTTAATTTTTATTATGATTTAGGCCAAGTTTGGCTACAAAGAAAAAAGTGCACTTATTTCATCTTTTTATCTTTTTTGGGTCACATCAATCAACATCTCCTCTCTACTTTTTCTACACATAATACAAAAAAAGTCAAAAAATACACTTATTTAGTCTTTCCAAACTAGCCTTAATTTCAAAGTTGTCCAGTCTAGACAAACTCTTACTTTCTATATTTTTATATTATTCTAGACTATACGATTCTACGAAAATTAAAAAATTAAAAAAAATTCAGCAAAAGACAAAAATATGTCAACTTTTACCACTTTCTTGATAAAATGTAGCTTATTTTTAATTTTTATTATGATTTAATTTCAAAGTTGTCCAGTCTAGACAAAAGTAAAGAAATGGATGGACCTAATCCCTTGGGGCCATACCCCCATGCAGCCGTTACGGTGTACTAGAGAATTTGCCATGCAGAAATTTTGATCTTCCAAACTGACGGAATATGAAACAGCGTGCAAAATGCAGAAAATATTTATTTATGAATTTAAAAAATAAACCATGCACCAATTGAAACTAAACCGGTAAATGAACAAGCAATCAACTCATCAGTAAAGAAGATTTAACAGCTGTTGCTAGCAACATGCCTGCAACTATGTAATTATTTTAAGGTAAACATGCTCGAAACTTCAAGAACGAAACCAGTCAAAGTCGGACAGCAATAGACCCTTGCTGAGCAGAAATCACCTCGTCATTCTTTCTTTCCAATCCCATGAGACATATTGTAGATGCCCCGTGCCTGGAAAGAACGCATAAAATTTAACAAGAACGGTGATGCATCAATAATCACTTAAAATGGCCCTAAAAACAAAATATCAAAGGAAAAATGTGTATAGAAATGAACTCACAATAAGAAACAGAGAAGAAGCAGCCAGAGCTGCAGGAATGGCAACAGAGGTGATCTTATCCATAGGACCCTTCAGATACGTGTACTTGTGCATGCTTTGGAAATATTTTTGCTTCTCAAAAAGATTCTCTCTTGGTCTAAAGGGTGTTTCTGACATCCTGTATCATTTGTTACAAAATAAAAAATAGAAGTTGTTTTCAACAATTCAACATAAAAAACTCTATTTATATGCAGTCTGCTGTCGGTGTGGGTCGTTGAGTGCATGCTTATTTGCAAGTATACACACAGCTTTATCACATTCTCTACTGACTGAGCTAATGCTCTCTAATACCCCAACCATTTTACCAAATTCAAACAGTAAAATGGATTAGGCTGGTTAACTAATTTGATTGAGGCATGACCACTTTCAACAATGCAAGTATAAAAAACAACAGTGTAGTTGTACGAATGAAGTATGTGCAAGTAATCCTTTTGGACACCACTAGACAAAATCATGATGGAATGTTTCATCTAGTATTAACAGCACCAAGCAGGGTCAGAAAAGCACTACATTGCCCTACAGAAACAGAAAACAGGAAGACAGGAGTACATCAACCCACTAGATGAGCTAGCTTAAACTATCAAGCAATAATCACTACAACTACAATTCCGTGTAATTCCCTTCAAATTGTACCCTTCAGCTACATCAATTTCATGAGCTATATCAACTACAATTTGAAATCCACAACAATTTCATGTACATGTCTTGGAGGCATCACACATTAGATGAGCTAGCTTAAACTCTATGAAGTAACAAAACCAGGTACATGAGGTAATACCAATTGAGATGTTTGATCCACTATGAAGCACGGGTACGGGTACGGGTACGAGTATTGGTACTGGTATGATATGAGTATGTCGATACGCTAAAATCCAAAAAAAAGTAGGGTACGGGTACGGGTACGGGTACGGATATGGCTTAGTACGCTTGTAAAAAAATATTTATTTTTAATTTAGAGTAATGTGAAAATTAATTAAATGGTTTAATTTGTTAAGATCCAACCTATAATTAACATTTAATGTAAAAAATAAAGGTATGAATCAAAATTAAATGTCAATATATTAAATAATTTACAAACTATAATTTAATTTTAAATCATGCTAAGTATAAAACTAAAAATAAAATAAAAAAAAAATTTAGGGAAAGGAGTTTTATCTCTATAGTAGAAAAAAATATTGTTTCAACTGAGGTACGATACGACTTGAGTATATACTAAGTACGTCTGGGTATGCCAAAAATTTAGAAGAAAAAAATTGAGTACGTTTTTTGTGTACTCGGTACGTATGCAGAAGTACCGTACAAGATACCATACGCCGGTAAGTACCTAGTACGGGTATGACATGTTTTTCAAAGTACTCATGCTTCATAGCTGACCCATGAAGCCAAGGAAAATTATCAAGGTTCAAAATGATTGAGATTCTCTTTTCCATGCTTGTAAAAAGCAAACATGTTGAATTTCTCAAACCATCCGATTGACAAAGAAAAAATTTTTTAAAAATGTTGCTCCATAAGATTAACGTGTGCAGTCTTTCCCCCGAGCCTTACTCTTCTCCTTCACTAGTTTATAATTTAGTTCATTTTTTATTAGAAAAATTACCACAAAAACACCTGAGTTTGACCCTTATAACAAACTAAACCATGAGATTTTAATTTTGTCAATTTAAACTCTGATATTTTAATTTGTTTTCAATATAAATTTGTCTATTTCCATTAAGTAAAATTAGCGGAAAAAGTGAATATAGCCATTAAACTTAATATAAGTATACATAAAAGGTCTAAAACACTCTTTTCGGTAAATTCAATGACTAAAATGGGATTTTATTTTATTTTATTTGGGGGGGGTGGGGGTGTGCAAGGAACCGATTGGCCTGATGAATCTGTCTAATCCGAACAGAACCGATGTTTCACGGTCGACTTCGTCACTTTGAACGGTCGGCAATGGATTTATATTTTATAAATTTGTTGTTTGATGGTCAGTCAACGGATTCATCTGAATAATAATTACTGAAACTGAACCGACCAATATATATTATATATTCTAATAGATAGTGGCATACCACGATTCAAACTATTAATATTCTACCTTATCACTTAAGAGAGTTGGCAATTTTCTATTGGCTCTTGGTATTACATTTGCTATATCCTTATCATTCTATTAGTAGAAGTCAGTGACAATCTGAAACAAATCACGTGATCCTCTATCATTGTCAATTAAATCATGCTTTTCTTTCGTCTCACATATTTCCAGGTTCAAACGACTAGCATTCCACTTTCCCTCTCCTCTCTCTCTCTCTCTCTACAACAACGCTTCCTCTTTCTCTCTCCACAACAGCATGAAGCCATGACGGAATGATCAAAGCAATGAAGCAACAAGAAGATTGGCAGCACGAGAACTACGTTACACGAACTCACTGGTTTTTGAGAGGTATCCGTGTCAACATGACACTACATGAGTGCGGGATATGGCCAGGATACGGCTAGATACAAATAGATACGGCAAAAACTCAGAGATGGAGAGAGAGAGAGAGAGAGAGAGAGAGAAGGGGGGGCTAAAAACTCACCTTTGAGGAGCAAGTCGAGTCGAGTCGAGTCGCGAAGCCAAGCAAGATCGAAACACGAACCCTGGTTGCGAACTCGACTAAATCAAAGGAGATCTGAAACCCAACTTCGTAAAGTTGATTTCACCCAGAAAACAACCCTAGGACTTCGATTCCCCTTGCGTCTCTCTCTCTCTCTCTCCCCTCTTCTTCTATCGACTCACGTCTCTCTTCTTCTACGTCCTTTTCTCTCTTCTTTTATTGTTGTCTTATCTTCTCTCTTTATCTCTCTTCCTTTTAATATGATTTATATCATATAATATTATTCATCTAAAAAAATATTATATTATATAATATAGTATATCATAAAGAGAATAATTTTTATGCCTAACAAAAAAATAATTTATTTCTATCCTATATAATATAATTTATTTAATGCCTAAAATAATTTTTTTAGCTTTTATTTGTTATTTATTTTTTAACAAAATCTATTATTTCTTAATTTTTTAAAAACTCATCTTCATATAATAAATATATTTAAAAATAACTATTTAACGAATTCCCGTACCCATATCCAAATTTGGATCTGTATTCACGTATCCTCAATTTTTAATTTTGAAGTGTTCGACTCCTAAATACGCACCCGCACCCACACTCACACCCAAGCTCGATATCCGTATCCCAATCCGTGTAACATAGCACGAGAATGACATTTGCTCTTTTGCTCTCCCTCTTTGATCTCATAACCCTTCTCCCAATCCCGTCCCTCTACCCCTACAAAATCCCTTCTCCTTCATCTCCTCCTTTGATTTGCCTCCCCTCCCTCAGTCATAGATTTAAGGAAAATATCCCCAGATATTATTCATCCGAACCGATAACCGACTCTTGAAAAGAGACCCGCTGTTTTGCGGTTTCAAAGGGTGATCGGTCGAAATTGGGGGGTGTTCTTCTATACCCCGAAGTGTTCGGGTCAAGTGACAATTTAGAAGCAAACCCGACCCGGACCGACCGGTGCACAGCCCTAGGGGGGTCAGTTTTACTTTACGAAAATAGACAATTGGTTTAGATTGGAAACAAGTCAAAAGGTTAGGCTTTAAATTGCCGTGAAATTTTTTTTAATAAATATTTTTAATTGCTCTTTTTTATTTTATTTTATTTTTAGCTAGGCGTTCATGATTTAGCTATTGGAATGGGATAATAATATCCCTTCTTGACTTCTTTTTACGATGTAAAATACACACAACCTCCAATTTCTCTCTACACTTGTATGATCATCGTGTAAATGAAGCCTAAAATTTATCAAATACAGACATATTCTTCGATTCATTTTACATTAAACCTGTATAAATCGCATAGATGTATACCTACACAACGTAATTGGATGGAGATCACAATATCAAAAAATAAATAAAACCCTAAGAAATCTAGATCTAATCGGGTGAATAATCACATGAAACAAATATCCGTACATACAGAAATGCATATATACCTGTATGTATGTATATGCGGCGATGGAGACCCCTACCTTTGAATTAGGGTTTGAAATGTGTGTGTGTGTGTGTGTGAGAGAGAGAGAGAGAGAGGACTTACGTGAATGTGAGCGAGAGTTGAGAGTTGAGGGCCGAGAAGAGAGAAAGTGGATCGGAGTGTTGGTTAACAGAACGATTGGTGATGGAATTTGAAGGAGGAAATGTAGAGGTGAAAAGGGGTTGGGGGGGTATGATCCTGTGAGGTGAGTTTTTGTACGGTAATCTCGTCTCGAATCAGGGGGTGCCTGTGACTTGCCATCTCATCATTGTTAAGGTACTTTGGGCCTTGCATTGGTGGGGTGGGGTCATTTTTTTACTTGATTTTGCTTTTATTTTTAAATTTACATTTTTTTTAAATTTTATTTAAATTTTGGTAAAAACAAAAAAACAAATTACCAAATAAATAAATAAATAATTCAAAGGTTTGCGTGTTTTTCAATTTAAATATTACGAATTAAAATCTTGATGTTATTTTCGTGTCACAATTTAGATTTTTCGTTCATCTTCGTTTGATTAAACTAACGAAAATCTGAGTAAAATTTTCAAATTCAAACTTATATGTTTAAGTCCTTATATCTCCCTCGTCATAATTTCATTTCGCCTCATTTTCACTTCGATCTTATGGTCTAATTTTGATTTCACCTTCTTTTATCTCTTTTTGCTTGCCGTTGAAGTTTCGAAAATTAGCCAAAAATAAGTTTTTTCTTTTTAATACTAGATTTAAATCCACATATTTAAACTCTTATATCTCCCTCATTGTAACTTTGCTGTGCATCATTTTCGAGTCGTTAGATTCATCTCATGGCTTATTTTTCATTACACCTCTCATATGTCTTGTTCTAACCTCTTTTTGCATACCGTTAGAGCTTTGAAAGTTGGCAAAAATAAGTTTTTTTTTTTGTTTTTTTTTATATTCAAACTCTTATATTTCTCTCGTCGTAAATTTATTTCGTCTCATTTTCACATTGTTGGATTCACCTCATGCCCTAATTTTTATTCTACCCCTCATAAGTTTTTTTCCATCTATTTTTGTATGGTGTCAGAGCTCCAAAAATTGACAAAGAATAAATTTTTTCTAAATAATATATTTATTATATAATTTAAATAAAGACAAACGAATTAAATTTTTTCGAATTTGCACTCAACTCATTTAGTAAACGAGTAGAATTGTGTCTTTAATAAGTCGAGTTGACCAGCTTGCGAATAACTCGATTCATTTGTAATTTTAATCGAGGCTCCTTTCATTTAATGGGTACAAAACAAAAATTAATTTATATAATATTATGGATACATAATATTTTTATTTTTATGAGTAACATTTTGATTCTATTTATTTTTTCGTTATATTTCTCCCCTAAAAAATGGTGCGCACACAATTACAGGCCCGAAAAATGCTTGAGGCACTGTTGGATTATTTTTCCTACGAAGGAAAATATCATAAATGCGAGCGTGCCAGCAAGGATTGAAAAATCCTTACAGATTAAATTCAAGCCAATTACCAAGCGATTGTTTTGACGGTTCTTTTGCCTCAACGAAGAGGACTTCAAATTTGCCAAGTGTAGCGAAAAGAAAAAGTAAAAGAAGAAAAATTGATGGAGAAAGATGATTGAGTGAACAATCAAAGTAATAAATACTTACCTCTACTCCTATGCTTCGAAAAGAAAGTACATAAAATGCTTCGAAATGGAAATACTGAAAATAAATGCTTCGAAATATAAATCTATGTTAAACTACTCCTAAGATAAGGAAAATGACAAGAAATATTGAAATCAATTGTCTTTGATTTAAGTTCTGGATCCTTTACAATGTAGCCATTAATGGCTATTTATAGAAGAAAAAATACAGCAATAATTACTTAGTAACTACCCATTTATTCCATATTCATTCTTGTCTTGCCATGTGTCATTCCACTCATCCACCTTGTCCTCCCACTCATCCACTTTGTCCTTCATATTCTCCATTATCTCTATAACTTCTTTTAACTTCCAAATGAATAAGAGGATGTCACGTGTCCTGCAATTATATAAATAATAATAAAAATTGCAGATTTATGGTGCTAACAGGCACTAAAAATGAATCACTAGAGGGAGCAATAATAATGTGATAGTGGGTCTCGTTCACTTTTTATGCCTTATTTTTATTTTTTTTATTATATTTTTTTGTCATTTTCAATATATTAGTGGTATAAATGATGTGTTTTTTAATAGTCTAAATCATTGTTGTTACAGGCCCACGTGTCGCGGACTCACAAGAAACGGATGAGACCCACTACCCGCAAGCCATCTAGCTTTTCTTCCTCGTCGGAACTCTTAGAATTCCGTCTCAGCCACAGCCCCACCTCCGCCGCCATCTCTCTCTCTCTCTCTCTCTATACACTCTGTATCTCTAGATACCTTTCTTTGGGAACACAAAAACTAAACCCTCCCTTTGATTTCAATACAAAGAACTGATAACTCAGGTCAGCAATTCTCAACTCCACTTGTTTGGATCCCGAGAATTTGCAGGAGCGAAAAATTTAATTTGATACTGTAACAATTTTACTTGCTAGCTAGATTGTTCAACTTAATTAGTCTTGAATTGGATTACTCACCTACATCTACTTGTTAATATATATATTCCTTTATTTTTTTCATTTTTTCATTTTTTTTTTCTGTTCAAGGCTTTATCAGTTTGACCTGTGTTGTTGTGTGGTTGTTGTTGGCATTTGAAACACAAAAAAAAAGAGTCCAGTATTGTGGCGTTCTTGTATGCTGTTTAGCCTGTTTTTCATTGTGTAAGATGTACAGATTTGTACCAGTCTGTTACAATCACACATCGGAACAAAATAGGCTTGGCCTATGTAAATAAAAGTCCGCTTTTCAATGAGTTTGTATCATTCGGAATCATAGCTAGCCACCATATATCGAGTACAGGATAGGATGGGTACAATTGTGGTTCAAGTCACTTAGGGGTGACCTGTAGGCTGGATAAAAGATAACCCATTGAGATACTGGAGCGTTTGGAATAGATTCTAAGAGGTGATTATGATTTATTTTGATTTGGGAGTCTGTATCGGATTATTTGATGCAACTATTCTACTTATAATTTATTAGGCAGAAATAACTTAAATAAATTGAAAAAAACTAATTATTTATAAGCGGGGAATAGCTACTTTTAGCTTCTACTTTTTTATTATCAGATTTTAATTTTAAAAAAAACGCTACCAAGCAGGGCCAATGAATTCTGATAGGCAAGTGAATTCTTCAGAATGGAAAGGGCTATGTTATGAGGTGTTTTGTATTTAGTGTACAGTGTACACTAAAGAGTCCTGTAACTCAAGGTGCTTTTTTTGTAGGCACCCCGTCGAACCGCGTATGTCCTGTGTTTTTTGTTTTTTGTTTGTGCTTGTTCTTTTGTTTACTACTTTATTGTGTGATTGAAATCATGATTTTGCACAACAGGCTACCATTGAATGGCTTGATTTTGTAAATATAAGCTTTTTGGACACTCTCCCTTGCAAACCGGTTTTCAAGGGTGAGGTCTACCTAAGGCACTGTATTTCAGTCCTAGTGGAAATGATTTTGGATTGTGGGCTTCATTCATCGATTCATGTATTAAATCACACAACACAACAGTATGTTGATTTTTGGTCTTTTATCTGGTATGCCAGTTTGAAAACTGAATATCTTTGATTTTTTTTTTTGTTTTAAAGCCTGTCATAGGTGCACCGTGCACTGATTAAACCAAGAGCTGCCCTCATATTTGTTGAGCTGAAGCTGATTAATATTGTGACAATGGGCACTTCAGAAGCAATTGTACAAGTTCTATCAGGGGCTGTGCCTCACCTGTTTCATTCTGATCCATGTTTTGTAAAGTCAAACTTGTTGCTTTCTTTTAAATACCATGTAAATAGTAGAAGGAAAAGAGGTTTGGTGGTAATACAAAGGGTGAATTGTTCAAGAAAATTAACCAATTGCATGAGGATCTATGCACTTGACGGCGTACATGGTATTTCCCATGGAAAGACTAGAAATGACCGTTTGGAGTCCCTGAGCTGCAAATGTCAACAGGCTGGAGGTGCGAGTGCAGTAACTGAAGAAGATGGACAAGGAACTGTGATTAATGGCACTGGTCGTGTTTGGAACAGTAAAAAAGATGAGGTGATTCAACAGTTGAAACATGAAAGTGGGGGTCTTGCAGCTGTTAGCAAGTTAAAAACAGCGGGAGCAATTAATGATACACTGAACAGGGTTGGTGTAGATTCCATGGAGGATGAAGCATGGAATCTATTACGAGCATCGGTTGTGTATTATTGTAGCAACCCTATTGGAACTATTGCTGCCAATGATCCTACGGACTCTAGTATTCTGAACTATGATCAAGTCTTTATTCGTGACTTCATTCCTTCTGGGATTGCTTTCTTATTGAAGGGAGAGTATGATATTGTAAGAAATTTCATCCTTTACACCCTTCAGTTGCAGGTAATGCAATGTCTCTTATCAAATTCTCCATGTAATAATCACCATTATTTATTTGCATCACAGTGATAAATGTTTCTATGATGATTGAAAAATCCAACTTCTTTATGGTAAGGAAAGCTACAAGTCTCTTATTATCAAATAAATGTTTCTCTCCCATGCAACTATTTTACCCCTTGTTTTTGTACTTGCACCCCAAAATAATAGTTGTCAATGCTGACATTTGGCGAAAGTCTATTCCAATCGAAAATTTGCCATTCTCTTCCCAAATTGTTCCTTCAACAGGGGAATTAAGCCCCTAGCATAAAGGTTAATGGTCCAACTAGAGACCACAGCCTTCAAGGTCAGTGGTTCTCAATTGTTCCCATGCCCATTCTTGTTAAAGCCCATTTTATATATCTATACTAATATATGAAGGCACTACACCAGTTGGTGTTCCCTTAGTTTTGAATTGTGTATATTTGGTGTTCCCTATGTATTGACGTTGTGTAGATATTTTTTTGTTTTTCCAAGATGTCCCTTGTTTTAAAATCTACTTTTTGAAATTTTGTTATTCATTATTTTTGAGTGCCAAAAATGAGAACACATGATTCCCATGTTTCCTCCACATTCTATACATCTTTGAACTACTCCTTTTTATGGTTTTTACTTTTAAGAAACCTTAGGATTCTATCTTCGATTTCATCCGTGAACGCAAAGCTGCTACCATTAGCAGTTATTTAAATCCTTGACGACTTTACCTGAGGTTCCCATCTATATCCAGTTTGCAACCAAAACCAGGTTGCTTTGTACTGACAGTCAATGCAGATCAGGTGACAAAGACAAACGGTATTTTATATCCTCTTTCTGTATCTATAGTTCCCAATAAGAGATTGTTCGTAAAATCAGCTACCTGATTTTCCAATGGGGTGAGTTTTCACATATATAAGTAATTCTTTGAGGGTACCAACTACCAGGGTGTTGTTTTGGCATTTATTTATAATATTGGAAATATCCTTAACACCATTCTAACTTCCAAATTTTGACTACTCTCACTTAAGAATTCTCTGGTGTGCATCCCAAACCAATCGATTAAAAGCTCAATGGTCCATTGTTCCTTTTTCAGATTCCACACAGCCTCTCTTGATGTTTACCTGCATACATATTCCAATGTCATCAATGCATTTCACTCAGATTTCTGAGAAGGTTTACACACAATTATTAACACTTGTTTTAACAGAACACCAAGTAGTGAGTTATCAACACAAATATGACCAATGTGTGAAGAAAAGATTAAGGAGAAATGGGGCACTCCGGATCAATGACTTCCTTGATTTTGTTTTGTGGTCAGATTATGTAGAAATTTAATGTATAAAGAGAAATAGAGAATTGTATTATTGATTGATATAATGTTATATTTATTACAATGATTCATGATTCCTATATATAGAAGAGGGTGAGTGTGTAGTAGGTAAGGAGTAGGTGAAGTGGAGGTGGTAGTGGTGTAGTGGGTTAGGTTTAGTGGAGTAGGTGAGGTGATAGTGGTGTAGTGGGTTAGGTTTAGTGGAGTAGGTTTAAGTGGGTGAAGTAGGTGATAGGTTTTAGGTTTTAACAGCATTTGTGGGATATTATGTTTGCATTTTTCTTTTGACTAAATGTTAGGCCTTTCTAGAGTTTGGTTAGTTAATAAATTCCTTTGGAATATGTGAATGGATAATGAGAACTTCACTTGTGCAAGGCTTCCCTTGGAAGTACAAACCTTGTTAGCATCGGTGACTTAGTGATATTTAGTGTCTATCTTTAATTATATTCTTATCTTTTTGGGTTGATGAATATCTGATAATGTCTTGACAGAGCTGGGAGAAAACCATGGACTGCTATAGTCCTGGTCAAGGATTAATGCCTGCCAGTTTCAAGGTGCGCACACTTCCACTTGATGGTGATGATTCTGCTACTGAAGAAGTTCTGGATCCTGATTTTGGTGAGGCCGCAATTGGTCGTGTTGCACCAGTTGATTCTGGTAAGTTCATGACGTTCAAGGAGTTATCTTGCATAAATTGAATCAGGTTTTATGTGTATCTGCGATATCTCGACAACTTACAAGTTGTCTTTCAGGTTTGTGGTGGATTATCTTGTTGCGAGCATATGGAAAATGCTCTGGAGACCTTTCAGTTCAGGAGAGGATTGATGTGCAAACTGGAATTAAAATGATATTAAAGCTATGTCTTGCTGATGGTTTTGATATGTTTCCGACATTATTAGTGACGGATGGTTCTTGCATGATTGATCGCCGTATGGGAATTCATGGCCATCCTTTGGAAATTCAGGTAAGTATATTTTTCTTCTATTTAACTATTCATCTGTACTCTCTTTCTGTTTCCCCTCTCTTATTTGCTTGGATAACTTTGAGAAGGCCAATAAAAATGGAATTTGCACGTTTTTAATTTTTTCCTTCAATGTGCTTACTATGTATGGATTCATTTAGAGTTTGATAGCCTAATACATCTCTGATATTTAAGCCTTTTTAATGTGTTAATATTTTTTAATGTGTTGTAGGAGGAAAATCAATAAAGAAACATAGGAATGAGAGAAACCTTTGTTAAATACTTATTTACTTATAATTCAAGGGTCATACTGTTGCTACTACACACATTTGAGGGAACAACAAATTTTATTACATTGTTTTGGTCAGAATATAATTGCACTGTAAAATGCTTCTCCATATTAAGGGCTTATGCTTTCAACTGTGACTTTCCCACATGACTGAATTCCACCACTTGTTCTAGCTGCATTAGATGAAATTCTTCAATTCTAATTTCAGTGGAGGTTAGCAAGACTTTACCAGAGTAGTGAGTACTATGTGCATTTGACAAAACTTCCAAGGTTGTCCTCAGTCAACAATGCTACCTTTGTTGCTGATCAAAAAAAAAAAAAAACAATGCTACCTTTGTAAGGACATGCGTGGAGGTGCTAAACTAACATTTTTCTTCTGTGCTGCAAACAGAAAGTTCAAAAAAAGAAAGAAAAAAAAGAACTCAGAAAGTTTGCAAGCTATTGCTGTCACTAGATTTATGAACCTAAATGGAAATGAGAAGTTCAGACTAAACTGTAAGATGAGATTAGAACTGTCAGAGTGCATTAAATTGCAAAGGCATGTGATCTTTAGGTTCAGAAGCCATTTGTACCTGTATGTTGTGTTAAAATAAGTTGAGGCTTATTTGAGCATCTTCTCATCATTTCATAAGAAAGATGCCTTTTGCAAATGATGTTACATGTTCGTGCAGGCATTGTTTTATTCAGCATTACTTTGTGCTCGTGAGATGCTTGCTCCTGAGGATGCATCTGCTGACCTTATCAGGGCGCTTAACAACCGTCTAGTTGCATTATCATTTCACATAAGGGAGTATTACTGGACCGATATGAGTAAACTCAATGAAATCTACCGCTACAAGACTGAGGAATATTCATATGATGCAGTCAACAAGTTCAATATCTACCCAGATCAGATTCCTCCGTGGCTGGTGGAATGGATGCCTAATAAGGGAGGCTATTTGATTGGAAATTTGCAGCCAGCTCACATGGACTTCCGTTTCTTCTCTCTAGGAAATTTGTGGTCTATTGTAAGCAGTCTTGCAACCGATGATCAGTCGCATGCCATATTGGATCTTATTGAAGCAAAATGGGCAGACTTAGTAGTTGATATGCCGTTGAAGATAGTTTATCCTGCTCTTGAGGGCCAGGAGTGGCGAATTATTACAGGAAGTGATCCAAAAAACACGTAATGATATTTTTTTTAATGGCTTCAATGTTCATTCCCATTCTTGATTTTGGCATCTGTTTCTATGTCCAACTTCTTAATTATGCTTTTTAATGCAGGCCTTGGTCTTACCACAATGGAGGTTCCTGGCCAACTTTACTGTGGCAGGTTAGTTTGATGTTTGTGAACTTTTTATGGTTTATTGCGATCACTGTGCTGGAGCTTAATTCCAAAGCACACAGTGACTTAAAAATGACACCTCATTTTGAACCCCGACTCTGTAATACAACTTTTTGTTGATGACTTCCTAAGATTATGTTTTGAGGTGCTGCTAAATCAGCTGTATTTACATTGAGTGAATGCTGCTGCATAAAACATGAGTGTCATTGCATCGCTTAGGGCTTCTTGCATATATGCTGCTATGAGCTGTAATTTATTCTGCATCGTTGTTATGTATGTGCCATTGCATAAAACATGTATCCTTGATATCGCACAAGGCTTCCGGAATATGGCCACTTACATTTCACTTATATTCTTTTTGATGTGTTGTTATGTTTACGCACTCTAGACAATGAATGTGTTTGAACTTGAACTTTGTAATTTCAGAACATCCTTATTTATGTTTAATTAAATATATTTTTCAGTATTGATCTTCTCAATATCGATACAAGAATATTTTCCTAGGTGAATCTGTATCTGGGATGAATACCTGGATTACTCATTTGGATATATCATTGATGACTTAGTCTTTATTGCTCTTTCGCTGTTGCAGAGATCCTTAGATATAATGGCATCCACTCCTCCTTTTGGCCCGACTTTTAGGCCCTCTTAATTTTTCTCTTATAGGTCTTTGTGGGTTACATAAGATAAGTACTATAACCTTGGACATCCGATTAACCTTGCCCTACGTTCGCTTTCTGGAACTCCTAGCGTCCCTATTCCCTAACCTCATGTAGCTTGGTATGTCCTCTAAACATTGGGGGCAGATGTTTGTACAACTCATGAATTTTACATTTTGACATGGTTATGTTAATTTATTTACAAAGAAATAAAGAAAAAAGGATTGATGTTTCATATACTAATGATTAGAAATTTGGAATGCTTGCTTGGTTTTGACAGTTACTTGCTTCTGCCCATAGAAAGCTGTTTCTCTGAGATATTGTACTTATTCCTTCATACTAGATTCAATGTCGGTGCTCAATGTAGGATTCACTTTTAGGTGGATCTTTCAATGATGGGAGCACACCCTCAAAGACTCTTTTCCTCATCTTTTTAGATGTCTAGACTACAAAACCTTGAAATCTCATTTTGTAGTCCTGGGTTATTACTTATCATGAGAAGTTGGGGATTTCCATTCATTAAAACTCTTGTTGATTGTGAATATAATGAGCTGTTGCCCTTATTTGTCGAGATCTAATCTAGTCTTAGACAGAAATGTTTTTCCTTTAGAGAGCATTTGTCCAGTGAACCACCGACTATTCATTTCTTGCTTGAGACCTCATTTGGAGGTTTCTGTTATAGCTTTGTGCTGTCACAAGCACTGTTTGGTTTGTAGGAAGTTCAAAATCTTTGATGGAATGGAATCCCAAAACAGAAGATTTCAGAAGGATTGAATTCCTTGCTCATGGTTGGGTTTTCATTTGTAAAGAGTTCTAAAATGTGCCCGTCTCTCTGATTTTTTCAATGCTAATTTTTATGACTATTCAGTGGAGAAAAGTGTTCATTTCCAAGGACTTTTGGGTTGGATTTACTTGGGTTTTGTTATAGTTCAGGGTTGGTAGGGTTGGACTTTGGTGCTGAATTAATATATATTTTTGTGCAATTTTATTCGAAGTGGAAAAGTTTCATAAATGCTTGTTGTCGCTTGTTGTTGAAGGTTACTGTAAAACATGGTGGAGCTTACAAAACACACAGGGTTGCTATACAAAGCCCTACTAATTTAGGTTTTGCGAATTGAAAATGTTGTTTTCTAACATTTTTGTGGACTTGTTTCAGCTCACTGTGGCATGCATAAAGATGAACAGACCATGGATTGCTGAAAATGCCATCAAGACAGCTGAGAGACGCATATCTAGAGACAAGTGGCCTGAGTATTACGACACCAAGCGAGCAAGATTCATCGGAAAACAGGCACGCCTCTTTCAAACGTGGTCGATTGCAGGGTATCTTGTGTCGAAGCTCCTCCTTGCCAACCCAGATGCAGCGAAGATTCTAATAAATGTAGAGGATACAGAGCTTGTGAATGCCTTTTCTTGCATGCTCAGTTCCAACCCAAGGAGGAAGCGTTCCCGGAAAGGATTGAAACAGAGCTACATTGTGTGAAAAACTAATATTCCAACCACAATACTAGGTGAAATAGGAGATAATGCACTGTTATAGGGTTAATTATAGGAGACTGTTAATCTTGTATATCGATTCTTGTGGCACAGTCATTGTATCTTTTGGGCAGCCCTATTGCTGGAGCGATCATGACTTTTTTTTGTGAAAGGACAGAACTGCCCTCAAAGAAAATATGTTCGCATAACATTCTTCACACGAAATCGTCTTGTTCAAAGCCATGGCTACCCTACCAATAGAGGTACTCATTTTTTTTTATAAAAAATTTTAGGCGAGTTACAAGCATTGTATCTGTCTTGCTTCTTATATGCAGTATGTTAAAAGAAATTATTGTGGACAAACTATTGGTAGCATCTTAGTCTTTTTGCCACCTGATCATGAGTTGAGTTCTAACAGCTTAGTAAGTTAAAGTTTGGCTTGAAAACTGTTGTTAAATGTAATTTGTTTACATAATGAAATGATCTCAAAAGAGTTTTAACAATTCTAACACAATTCGAGCTGGAATACTTTGGTTTGTTTACAGCCTTGTTACCTGCAAGCTGGACAAAAGATTTGCAGACTCCAGTAATCTAGAATTGAGCGGTTCCTTAGGTCATGTTTATTTGAGTAGATTGAACTAATATTTCTAAAATTGTTAGTCTTGGAATTATTAATCTCTGTAAATTGTGTATCATTTTTCATGTTTGGATTGGCATAGGATTATGGGAAGGAATTGACAAATTTTTATCAATTTTCTAATTTAGTCAATTTGTTCAAACCTCTGCTTAATCCCCCCATATAGGATATATCATGTCCGGTAGACTATTCCAGGCCCAATTTTCTTAGCTAAGCTCTCTTAATCTCCCATTGCCAGGGTGGACTTAGTCTGGATTACAATTTTCTTATTCAAACATGAGACTATGCATTTTGTTAGACTATTAATCCAATCCCAAAGCCATGTCCCTCAAACAAACATGGCATTAGTTAACAAAATAGCATTTCTAGAGAATATTGCAGAGGCTATTTCTGTATGAAAATGGAAACTTTTTGTTTTTTGGGCCCAGTTTATGGAAATCAAGTGAATTAGTCTTTCTAAGATCTGATCACTGACCTTGAAGAACAAGAGGCTCATAGAGAAATGATAAAGAAATCTTCCATCCAAGTTTTTTGCAACTCTCATAATCAGCTCATTAATGAAAAATCATGTGGTGCAATAGGGTACATACTAAATTACACTCGAGAATTCTGTTGTTCTAGTAACTTACAAAAACAAACGGATTACAAGCATGACTGCAACAGATTTAAGTCGACTGTGGATTTGAACGCTACAAACAGAAATGGGTGACATACTCTGTGCATTGGCCAGAAAATTATATTCATCATTGAACAGGAGCCTAGAAAATTGAATCAATTGGCTTCCATTAAGAATCCAAAATGAGATTGTTCTCTGCCAAAATGCTGCCTAACAGTGATTCGCAAGCATCTTCTAGCAAATCCAAAACCTGTCATGAAATTATATTGGTGAGGATAAGCATCACCAACAAAGAAAAGTATATTTTTTTATTCTTCTATATGATCACTATCTAAATCCTAACCCTAACCCTAAACTCTAAAACCCTTTTAAATACTTGCACTCCATATTGTGGATTGATCGAAAATGTCATTGCAAAAGTCAAACTGGAAAGCCAGTAGAGCAAACTTTGAAATTATATTACAATCATAAATTTGGTGGGATATGCATAGATCACTTGTGAATCTTGGGATGACTCTGGTGTCATCAATGATATTATGAGTAATTAAATCTAGCAATAGAGAAATTTCATAAGAAAACAAGAGAAGGATTTAGTCTTTTGTTGCCAGAGGCATCAGGTAGCTAAGATAATATGCTTATTGAGTGGCTAAAATATGATGGAAGAGTGACAATAGCTGAAATGATAGATCAGAAATGAATGCAGCAGAGAGACAGAAAAGGCATGATCGAACAAGTAACAGCACTTGGGAACGCAGATTAAGATGGCTAACTCCTAAGAATGGGCAAGATTGGGACACAAAAGTTTCACAAGGCACACATAGAAGGTTTATCAAAGACACAAGATCAGCTGATTAGGACATGGGACAAGAAAAACAACAAAACAACGAGGTAATTCACAATTTAATGAAAGATCCAATAGTAAATAAGATTTAACAACCAAAAATACAACAGTAAACAAGAACAAACACGAAAGATACTTTTATCTTCAGGGAAAGGCAGTTTCAGTAAAAAGTTCGTTTCAATTAAACAATTAAGATAAGTTGTATATATAAAATATGTTGTGTTGATTGTTTCTATAGATCAAATTCAACCAAAAATTGGAGTTTGAAACAGCTAGAGCAAGAACTAGTTACCGACCTTCCTGATTCTCATCAATTTGTCTTCAAGACGCTTTTTTTAAGAACAAAGAGAGACCAAAAAATAAAAAACTTCATCGAGTAAGAGGTATTCATATGCAATGGCCTGGCCTATTCATCAAGTAGGCATCAATTGCATTTTAAACAATCTAAGGTAAACAGTGCACGGAAAATTTCATTTTAATTTGCAACCATATTCAGCTTCGCTTTTATTGCTTCCAATATTTATATTAAGTACACTAATTTCGTAGGCCACATGTAATGTATTACCTTCTCAAAACCTTGTGGTCCACCATAGTAAGGATCAGGAACTTCAGTTTCATCATGCTTCTTACAGTACGAGCACATTAAATGAACCTGCGCAATCGACATATGATCAACCATCAAAACGATACTGGATTATATTATTACACCAATACCCTTCTACGAACCTTCTTATATGTATCGGCAGGTAAGGTCTCTCTAAAACTCCATCTCTCAAGAGCTCCAAGTATATCATCTACATCAACACCAACACCAACACCATTAAATTTGAACAAACAACAAATATAAATATACCCATAGATAATGTGTGATTTACACGAGCTAATGGACATATTAGAGAGTAGTATTTAATCCATTTCAAGACCAAACAAAGAAAGAATACAAAAGTTAAACAAAACCATAATTTGGTACACCTTATTCAAATAATCCCACCTTTGTTTTGCTTGTCCATTGCAAGAATGAGATCAAAATCTCTAAAATCAGCAGGCTGTATCGGCCTTGACATTGAAGTTATCTGGATTCCACGCCTTTTAGCAGCAGCCCTCATTCTTGGGTCTGCTTCGTTACCCTTCCAAACAACAACAACAACAATTGGAAGAAACCCAATATCAAATCGCAGTCTCTCACCACCAAATAGGAATTTATAGGAACACATTTTTAAACCCTAAGCGTATCTCAATCCTTACGCAAATCTAGACTCAAAACTTAAATTGAGTAGAAATCCATGAAAATTCTCTCGACTCCTTTACTCAGATTTATACCAAATTGAGTATTACACCAAATTTTACTCAAATCAAGAAGACCCATTTCCTTTCCTCAAATTTATATCCAATCCAAACTGACACTTGGACACTTTTACCCAACTGACACTTGACCCTTTTACTCTAATTTGAGTTTTTCCATTAGGGTGCTTATATCAAATGAAGCTTTTTCCTCAAAACTTGTACTCAATTTGAGTAGAAGTATGAGGACCTAAAAATAGATTGTGTACCTCATGGTACCTGAAGTGTAACTCGTCAGAAACAATCTTGAACTTGAAATCAGGGCCCATTTTTATCTTTACTCAACAGCAACAACAATAATTGGAAGAAACCCAATATCAAATCACAGTTTCTCACCACCAAATATCAATTTATAGGAGCACATATGTAAACCTAACAAAAGAAATACAAGACATGATACATCCATATATATATATATGATAGATTGTGTACCTCATGGTAATTAATGGTGCCAGCAGAGTCAATCTTGAACTTGAAATCAAGGCCCTTTTTTTTGACCAAATCAGTGAAGACACCCTCAGCAGCTGGGCTTCTGCAGATGTTGCCAAGGCACACAAAGAGGACTGAGAAGGGTTTGGTCTCTGCCTCTGCCTCTGCCTCTCCTGTGGTTGATGATGGAGTTGAAGAAGCCATTGGAGCTGTTATGATGGGTCTTTGTTGTCTGTGCCTGTTTTTCTGATTAGGGTATGAATTTAGCAGAGATGGGTATTGTTTTGGAGGAGGAACAAGAATGAGAAATGGGGGTTTGGGAGCGAGAAGAGAGGTGGGAGGAGAGTGGTTGTGGCAGAATGGTAAATATGGGGAGGATGGCAATCTACTAGTGTGCAGTGGCCTCATCATCATCATCATCATCATCATCATCGTCATCAGTTCTGTGAATTTGGAATTGGTTGAATCACTCTGGGGATTGTTATTATTTAAATATGGGATTTGTTGGGGTGTGGTGGTGGTGGTGGTGGTCTTGAGGTGGTTTGGTTTGCTTGATTTCCTTCAACTCGTGGTTAGAAGGTTTTTTTTTTTTTTTTTTTTTTTTGTGGTGATATTTAGTGAATTTTTTTATGGAAAAATAACAAATTAATTTATGATTTAAAAAAAAAGAAAGGAGATTAATAGTAAAGTTTACAAATTTTAACTATTAAAATTATAAACTTTTCTATATATGTAATTATTTTGAAAAAATTAACCTGCTTATAATTTCTTCTTTTTTTTTAAAATATATATAAAATTTATATATATTTAAAAAAAAAATTAGACTGTCTAGACTAAGAAAAACTTGAAAATAATAATAATAAAAAAGTTGGTAGAAAGTTCACCAGAATAAGTTGAGTTTTATGTAAAAGAGTTTAGCTTTTTTGAAAAATCGTTTGGACTTAGTAATTTCATTTGAGACTAATTTCAAGGATTTAAATTGTTTATTTTTTAAGACTTATTGAATAGAATATTCATATAAAAAATCAAAATGATCAAATATCAGTAATTAAATATTTGAATAAATTTGTATTATAAAAAAAAGATAGCTATTCTTGAAATTGATTTGTTTTTGTTTTTGTTGAACCATTTTTAAATTTTTATTTTTTTTTGGATTTCAAGTTTAGATGAATTTAAAAGTAGCTTTTTGATTTTTATTTATCTATATATAAGCAACACATTTTGACTCAAAATTTTAAAAATATCACTTTAAATTAAAATAAACCTAAAAAACAGCATAACTTACAAGTTGCAATAAAAAAGAGTCTAAGAGTCCGTTTGAGAAGAGTTAAAGTGGATTTTTTTGACTATTTTAAGCACAAAAGATAAAATAGGCTATTTTAGCTACAAAAAACAAAACATTACATCCAACCCATAATCATTACACTCTTCTCTCACAAAAAAAATCAAAAAGTCAAAAAACTATTTTTATAAACCAATTGTGTCAAAAACCAAAAACTTTTTATAAGCCAAAAAACTATTTTTATAATGATCTTATAAAAAAAACAAAAAACTAAAATAGCCACAAACCAAATAGCCTAAATAGCCTATTTTTATAAGATCATTATTTATACTTTTCATGAAAATTGTGTCAGAACACAATTTGACATTTTCACAACCCCAATAATCTGCACCAATTAGGAATAGCATCACTCTTCTTAACTGGTGCACTTATTTTGTAACCATAAAATATGGATGATCTTATAATCTAATGTTTTTCACATCATTCCAAATTGTATCTATTTCTTTTAACCTTCTTTATGCTGGGAGCTTCATTCAATTTCAAACCATGTCTAGTGTCAAAAAGGCTTCTACAATTCAAGAAACACAAGTGTCATATTTTACATAAACTGAAAATCTTTTCCAACTTTTCAGTATCTAATTCTAACTTAAAAGTTACATGTACACTGTACGCTATATATATATTATATCAGTTACAAAGAAGATGAGAAATTTCATTTTGAAAATGAAATCAAACACCTTCTCTCCACCACATCTAAGTATTTCAAGCTAAAACATCTCAAACTCCAAATTCTCTTCCTTTTTCTGCAATGACAGGTCAGCAGTGACACTCCCAAAATCACAGCTCTTAGGCAGCTCAGGAGGTATTGCACACCGAATCAAAGCCCAGTTGAGGCCCTCGAAGAACATATGCTGCTTAATCTCAGCTGCCCCTTTTGCAGAACCCAACCGATTCTCAGGTTCCTTCACTAACAGCCCTCGGATCAAATCTCTAGTATGACAACTAACAACAGGGCTCACGGGAAACTTGAGGCTCCACGACACAACATTTGATAATGTGTCCTCGTTTCCACGTCCCTTGAAGGGTGTCTTACCGTACAATAGCTCATACAGGAAGACTCCAAAAGTCCACCAATCAACCGCGCTCCCATGACCCTCCCCTTTGATGATCTCCGGAGCCAAGTATTCATGGGTCCCAACAAAGGAATTTGATTGGGCACCAATAGGCTCGGCTATGAGCTGTGGCAGCGGGCTGACTTGGGCAGCGAGGTCAGGTTTGAGTTTTCGAGTTTTTGATGCAGTGGAGATGAGCCTAGGAGTAAAGCAAGGGACTTGCCAGGAAGGTTGGAGGCAAAAAGGGTCTATGCAGCTAGATTCTGTGCACGGACTCGAATCCTTTTTAGGGGACTCAACAACTGGTAATGATTTGAGCAACATAGGGTTAACGGCACATTTGATCGACGAGTCGAAATCTGAAAGCATGATGTGTCCGTCTTCCCGGATCATTATATTTTCAGGTTTTAAATCCCGATAGATAACACCAAGCATGTGTAGATACTCCAATGCTAGAAGCACTTCAGCAACATAAAACCTGCATGAAATTGAACCAGATAAAAGCTTGTTAGACGGGGCATAAGATAAATTTATGGATGAAACAAGCCAAATATCCGCTTTTGAATACATTGAAAAAACATCTATATTACACAGACCCTGAAAATGCTTCAGGTACCCAGGAAACTGTTACTGTATAGTAAGCTTAAGCTAGGAAAATCACAATTCAATGAGACAGGAGCCATGAAATGCACTCCCCTAACTTTGACCAATTAATTTTTATTTTTTATTTTTTTTTGTTCTTTTCACCCTTTCTTTACTGACTTGTTCCTGTGTTTTGCCTCAAATTTGCCCGCTAAAGATGACAATGCTTGCATTTAAAGGGGAAAATATTATCCAGCATGCACAATATATATAGGTACACATGGTCAGCAAATAATCATCTTGTATAACTGTCTAGGAAGGCTTTATGTGCCTCCTTAAAACCGTTCAGATGTAGAGGGGGTAAAAAGAGAATAAAAATAAAGACTTGAGAAAGGGGTGATAATGAACACGTGCAATGGTAATAGCCAATGAGGTTAATAAATAGAAGACAATAAAAAGTTAAACCCGAGATCCAACCGAAATCACAATGTCATTTTCCTTGTTCCTTAATGGGCCTCCTAAATCGTTTTTAGGTTTATGCTCTACTTTGGGAAAATATCCGCTCAAATTTCTATTTGCAAATAATGTACATTAATCAAATTCAAATTACTTTGATTTTCATTTTCCATGAGCCCAGGCTTTTTCCTGAAAGATGATATTTTGTGTAAATCACAGTGGCGTACTCCTTTCTTTCACATACATGTGGGACCTACAAAAGTGGAGCCTACATACTCGTGAGAGAAAGGGTTACACCATCATTCTACCCGTTACACAAAATACTTGATCTTTTCCCAAATGTGGCCTCCCCCCTCCCCCAGCAACAAACAACAAATAAAATATAAAAAAAAAACATATTTCTTGTGAATTTTGGAGAGCATTCAACATCCTCTTTTTACGTGTGTCATTGTTTGATTCCGAAAAAGTATGACTAAATAATACACATAAACATCCCAAATAAGATAATTATGAATTGAGAGGAAAATACATATTGTAAGTGATAAACCGCAACTTTAAATTACCTGGCTGCTTGTTCAGAGAAACTCTTGTTAGGTTGCTTTTGCTGGAGCACGTGCAGATCTCCACCTGGACAGTATTCCATAACCAAGCACGAGAATTTATCTGTTGTAAAATGGGCAAATAGTGTAGGAAGAAACGGATGATCCAGCATTTGTAGTATCTCTCTTTCAATTTGTGCCCTATGCATTTTCTTCTTGCTAGCCAAAAACTCATCGTTCATAATTTTCAAAGAAAATAGGCAATTCGTGCCAATTAGCTCAGCAAGGTAAACAGTCCCAATGTCCCCACTACCAAGTTTCTTGAGTAGCTTAAAGTGTCTCAAACCTAAGCTCCCATGCTGCTTCTGAACACAACGAATGGCTTCCCATCTCAAGTCTTTTGACATGTGCGGTCTATACCCAATACGGTTGGATCCAATTTGAGTGCTCTCCTCACTAATGCTTGTACTACTGCTACACTCACCAATGCTACTTTTTGAGCTTTGAGAGAACTCCCTCTTGTCTCGTGATCTTGATCTTTCATCGCCTTTTGAAACTACAGTTTTAGTTCTGTTACTAAAATTTGAATTCAAAACTGGTTTAGTACTTGAACTGACTTCACTGCTAACATTTACAATGCTTGATACCGTAGATGATTTGTCCTTATCGTTACTTCCATACTTCGAAGCACAGTTGGGTCCCTTGCAGACAGTTTTACTCATGCTAGGACCCAAATCATTATCTACCCCACCGCTACATTGATTGGAGCTGCTAGGGACAGAAGTTGAATCCTGCTTAATTTTCTTTTTAACAAAGATCTTGTTCCTGAAGACTGGTCTCATTATGTGTCGACTAGTGCTCGCAGATTTGATAACAATCTCACTAGCATTATTACCACTAGATAGAGAAGAATCAAAACGCAACTTGCCATTACGCTCCTTGTCTGTCTCGACTAGAGCTTCTTCAGTTGAGGCAGGAACAATCTCATCTAATGCCATCGGTTTCTCAATAGTGTGAGTCCTAGATGAGGAATGTGTCCGCTTTTCATTCTGCCCTAGCTCTGCCATTGAGATTTCAGACCCCCCATGAGTGGGCAAATGAGTAGAAGAGTGGGCACTTTGGTTCAATAATTCCACCTTGGGAAATCGCCCAAATTCAGACGTTTTGTCAGAAAAATTTGATGCACTTTCTTCCGGAACAAGGAAGATTTCCACTGCTCTATTCAACTTTTTGATAGTTCCAGCTTCTGATTCCCTTGACAAACCTTCTGGTTTTGATAACCGCTTCATAGCAGCCATCTCTGATGCCTGAGAGATGCATAACCCTCTCAATGCCTGCTTCAAACTCACAGGCTCTGAAAATCCAATACCAGAAGCTAAAGCTGAACCAGTTCTCATTGGTTTTTTCATGGCACTTTTCCGTAAATTGTCTTTTCCAACTTGCTTCAACAAACCGGAACTCCTACGATAAGTCCTTATGTCGATTGCCTCAAAAAGTTGATTAATATCGTCCTCAATGGAACATATTTGTCCAGGCTTTGGCATACGACGCTTTCCGGCATATTCATCCAATTTCCATTTCGAATCCAATTCTTCCATAGATTCAACAATTTCAGAAGTATCAGACAAAGTACCCATCTTTAGAGGATGCATCTAAAAGCATTTCTGGGAAAAAGATACCCATAAACCAACAAACATGCCACCTATCCTTCGAAGTCCGCAATCATAAAACATCCCAAAACTAAAAGGTCCACGATGATCTCAAGACTCCATCTAATATTCAGCATCCAAAATTCCAAATCCTGCCACAATTATTGAGTTTCAGATATAGTTACGTTAAGAGTCATATTTTTAATTCTTGAAAATATACTAAGATGCTCATACTCAATAGTAAAAAGTTGGATTCAATACGGATTTCCTCTCCATAGTTTTAGATATAGGAATGTTATAATTTAAACGTAAACTTCTTGTTGCAATTCTCAGCTATGCCATAATTTGAATGGTCCCGCAGTTCATGTCATTCAAGAGTCAAGACAATAAGATTGACAAAATACATATTAGAGAGAATGCTAACACACAAGAAGAACTACCTCATATCTTTACAAGAAATTCAAGACCAGTTTTTATCCAAATCTTACACAGCAACTACCGACACCCAAATGAGAAGGCGACAAAAATTCTCAACCCAAAACCATCATCAGATTGCATGTTAACTATGATCTGGGTAACTTTTTACTACACTTATTTCAGGCATACTTTGTATCTTGATGCAACACATAAAAAGTCAAAATCAAGAAACTAATCTCAGTTTCACTTGTTAAAAAAAAAAAAAACCACTAACCCCGGCTCCAAATTTGGATACTATACAGATTACTTTAACTGTCCTGATCCATAAATCATCCCACAACAATTCAAAGCAAAAGCAAAGAGTAAATCATCTCAATCCCTACTCTCTCTCTCTCTCTCTCATGAAAATTTAGAGGAAATATGGTTAAAAGCTTGATATGATATGAAACACTCCAATCCTTACTCTCTCTTTTTTTCTTTTTTTTTTCCATCAAATCTTTTTGAAAAATTCCAAACTCATCCTAAAAACCTGCTTTAACCATTTTTTTTTTAAAAAAAAAGAAAGAAAACCATCTTCAATCCTCAATCTTTTTAAAATTTCATCAAATTTGAGTAAAATATGACAGTTTGAAATTTGGTTAAAGATTTGGTTAATCTTGATTTGGTAAAAAATTGCATCTCCCCTGATTTGACAAAATGGTTGGAGCACACTTTTAGCCATTTTTTCATCAAATTTAAATTAAATGAAAAAATTGATGAAGGATAGGAGATGCCTTATAAACAGTAAACAAAAGAGTAGCAAATAAGCAAGCAAACTGGTGTACCAAAAGCTCTCTTTCTTTGGATCAGAATTCATGAAAATGGGGTATATCCCTAAAACAAAACCCAAAAAACACTTCCAAAACAGAGGGGGCGAAAAAAGAAAACTTTCAAAAAGTGGGTAAACAAAATAACAATAGAAATCGATCAAATTCAAAATCCAGAAAGATTCAAAACTAAACAAAAGATACATAGAAATCAATAGATGTTTGATCAAATTAAAATTCCAATAAATTAAAAAAAAGAAAAAAAAGGGTTGAACAAGAACAACAGCAAAGCTAGAAAGAAAGAAAGAAAGAGAAAACATAAATGAAAGTCTTACCCAAAACCAAGATCAGAACCACCCAAAAACACTGAGGCTGTCATCATGTAAGTGCTCCTTCCACCAACCGGTTGTTGAGTCTAGAAAGAAAGAAAGGAGGAAAGGAGTGTTTAGGGCACAAGAGAAGAGCGGCTGTGGAAGATTGAGGGGAGAGAGAGAGAGAGAGAGGGAGAGAGAGAGAGGAGTTGAAATGGTTACGCTACAAATCACGAGAAGTCTCACTCCCTGTTCCTTAGCTCCTCTCTCTCTCTATAAATTGGCGGAAAAAGAGAGAGAGAGAAGCTTGGTAGGCATTACGGTGGAGCACCACCACCAGAGGCAAATATCTATCTATCGGATAGTTTGAGATACTGTCGAGGAAGGAATCGGTGAAATTCATAATTTGATTTAATTTAGTTTAAGTTGATAGGTTTGAATTGATTTTTTTGAATATGCGGTTTGCTTTCGAATTGATGAATTAAAAATTTATAATCTATGGTTTGATTTTGGATTGAACTTCACGATTTCGGATTGAAATTGATCTGAATCATATACAAATAATTTATATTTTTATTATACATTCTTCCCTATAGTATCTTCTCTTATTCTATATAAAATTTAAACTCAAATCCAAAATCGTATATTATTTTTTTTTATTACTTTTATTTGTTAGTTTTAGTTTTAATTTGTAATGGTCTAAATACTTATAGTTGTTTAAATTCTAAAACAGTATGTGGCTATTATAAGAAAACATGTTATTATTGTGAAATTAATATAGCGCTATGGCTATGTTTTTATGAAATTAAAGTGTTATATATATATATTTGTTATTTAATTATGTGAATCCGTGGTCCTAAACCAATCAAATCCATGTTTAAATGGATTGGTTCGGATTGGTTCCATGATTTAAACGGATTGGATTGGTTCCAATTTTTCAAGAACCGTAAATAACGGATTGGTCCTGGTTCTATCCCAATCCGGTCCAATCCGGACCATGCTCAACCCTAGTTTGAGAAATTGATTATTTTAATTTTTAATTATTTTAATAGATTAAAATATTTATGTTTAAAAAAAGAATTAATTTTTTTATAATTAAATGTAAGGTTTGTGAGAGAAAAATTAAAATAATTATAGATTTGATGTGATATTTTATCTTAGAGTGAATTACCTACACCCCTTGAAATTTAGCTAAATTACATATTGTCCCTAAAGTTTCAGAAATTAAATCACATCCTTGAGATTTTCGAATAACAATTTACCCCTACCTTTAAATAAATGTTAGGAACTATTCTTGACGGATGATATTGTCCCTAGTATCTTTCTAAAACATTGAACAACCTGATTTAATCTGAAATTCCTTTGATAAGCCAATAAAATTTACAAAAGAATTATGTTAAATGGAAGAAGAAAAAAATTAAGACTCCATTTGGTTTAGTTTTTGAATCATGATTTGAATTTTGAAAAAAAAAAATTTGTTTAGTTTTGAGTTTTGAGTTGTATTTTGAAATTTTTTGAGTTTATATTTTTTAATATTTAAAAAATTTCTTAATTTTATTTTTTTAAGATAAATATATTTTATTGTAAAAATTATTTAGTTACTTTGAACTTCATTTTTAATTTTTTTTTATTTTAAATATATAATTTTTATTTTAAAATATTTTTTTAATTTTTAATTTTATTTTTTGAATATTTTTTAAAATTTTAAAAAAAATTGGATCGCCCGCGCATATATATATATAAAGCATCACAAATTATTTAGCTAATACTTAAAAAATAATAAAATATTGTTTTCAAAAAAATAAAAATAAAATTTCTTCCAAAAAAAAAACTTAAATAACAAAATAAAAAAATTTGATATTTTTTTTTAAAATAGAGTTATGTAAGGAGTTTTGAAAAGAGTTTGGTTATGAGTTTTGAAATTTTTTGATTCAAATTATGATTTGAGTTCTAAACCAAAGTAAGTTTTTTGAACCATGTTTGATTTGTTATTTAGAAAAAAAAAATCAGAATATTTTTTTGAAAAAATGGAAACTAATTCAATAAAAATATATTTAATTCGTAAAAATTGTTTCTAACCTCTCAAAAATAAAATTATATAAAATGATAATTATTTTTTATTTTTTATTTCTTAACCAAATTAATTTTTAACTTTTTTTTAAATTTTTTTAAAACAAATACTGAACAACTATTGACTGACTTGACATGATGTATCAGTCAAATATCATCATTTCTCTATATAACACAATTAGGGGCATTTTAGTCAATTTACTATCTCTATCAACGGCGTTAATTGCAATAAGCTAGGATGTAATTTTTGAAATCTCAAGGAAAAATCTATAATTTAACTAAACCTCAAGGGGGTGTAGGTAAATTGTCCTTTATCTTATTGATTATTTTAACATATTTTATCTTTATGTAAATTTTAACAAAAAAACCCCCTAAAATTAGCTTCCCAAACACCCCTAATATTGGTACGAGCTTCGTTATTCAGACTTAAAAATAGATTTATTTTTTAGATTTAATGATATGTTAAGAAAATAATTGGCTGATAATTAAACATTTTTTTATTATCAACTAATTATTTTTTTGACCATCACTGAATCTCAAAAGTACACTTGTATATGATTTTTCAATCAGTAATGTTGGTACTTTTTAAAGATTTTTTTATTTTATTTTTAAATAAAAATTAATTTAATAAAAATAAATATTAAAAATAATTTATATTGTGTAATTTTTGTTGATTATTTATCAAGTAAACATTAGTTTAGATAAATTAACTATTTAAAAATTTTAAAATAATTTTAAATATATTTTATAATTATTAATTTTAAATTTAAAAAAAAAAACCACACCCAAGACTATTAAAGGGTACTCCTTAGGAATGTCGAAAAAATTTCTATTACCAGTATTAATAAAACAAAGCACAATGAAAAACATTCATTTTAATAAAGTAGTATATTTTGTGTTAAAATTCTAATATTTCTCTATTTTATGCTAAATTTGGGATACGATATATAGAACGATTCTATTTTATACCACACTTTTGCCTATGTTATTGTAATTAGAGTTTAATTTATCACTAATTATAACTAGGGTAAATTACACTGACATCCACTGAGGTTTATATTTATTACAGTTTTTTTCTCACCTTTTGAAAATTACATCTCCCTCCCTGAGGTTTAAAGTTTCATTACAGATTTCCCCCTCAGCAATTTAATTTTTTTAAATACCAATTTTGCCCTCACTGAGTAAATTATATTGACACTCCTCACATTTTAGAAATTACAATCCATTCCTTAAGGTTTAAAGTAGTATTACCAATTGCCCCCTTAGTTAGTATTAGTTGGAAAAAAAATTCATTGAAAAAAAAATTATTTGAAAGAAAAAATTAATTAAAAAAATTTTGTTGGTAAAATTTTTAAATTTCTGTTTAAAAACCAACATAAGCTCATCTTTTGAATTTACATTTTTTTCTCAAATTTACAAATTGAGACAACTATTTATAAACCAAAAAAATTATCAAACAAGTTTTTATAACAATTTTTAAAATTTTTGTAAATATAAATTGAAAACTGAAAACGAAATGATTACCAAACAAGGTTCAGATGGTAAAAATGTCGTAAAATTAACAAATAATTAAATAAAGTACCAATGTAAGAAATGACTTATCAAAAGATTCTTAGACTATGTAAGGTTTGATTTTTAGAATTTTTTTTAAAAATTATAAATTAATTTGGTTAAGAAATAAAAAATAAAAAATAATTATCATTTTTATATAATTTTTATCTTTCGAGTGGTTAGAAATAATTTTTTACAAATTAAATTGAAACAGCCATACGTATGTATATATAACCTGTCCAAAAATTGAAATGAATTTTTTACCCTTAAATGATAATTATTTTTTATTTTTTATTTCTTAACCAAATTAATTTTTAATTCTTAAAAAAAAATTCTAAAAATCAAACCATACATAACCTAAGAATCTTTTGATAAGTCATTTCTTACATTGGTAACGTATTTAATTATTTGTTAATTTTAAGACATTTTTATCATTTGAGTCATATTTGGTAATTATTTCGTTTTCAGTTTTCAATTTATATTTATAAAAATTTAAAAAATTGTCATAAAAACTTGTTTGATAATTTTTTTTGGTTTATAAATTGTTATTTTAGTTTATAAATTTGAAAAAAAATTATAAATTTAAAAAATGAGTTTACGTTGGTTTTTAAACAGAAACTTAAAAATTTTACTAACAAAATTTATTTTCAATTAATTTTTTTTCCAATTAATTTTTTTTTTCAATGATTTTTTTTTCTAACTAATACTAACCGAGGGGGCAATTGGTAATGCTACTTTAAACCTTAGAGAGGGGATTGTAATTTTTAAAATGTGAGGGGTGTCAATGTAATTTACCCAGTGCGGGCAAAATTAGTATTTAAAAAAATTAAATTGCTGAAGGGAGAATCTGTAATGAAATTTAAACCTTAGGGAAGAAGATGTAATTTTCAAAAGGTGAGAAAAGAACTATAATAAACATAAACTTTAGAGGTGTCAGCGTAATTTACCCTTATAACTATGTTATCTGAAGATGGATTGCCCGAGTACAAGTTACATTGACACAAATAAATTAAATGTAAAGACCAAAAAAAAAAAAAAAAAATTATATGCACAATCCATTTATGTAGTTTGTAATTTTGACTTAGATTAATTAACAAAAACATTATAAAAAAATGATGATTGATAGGTAAATGAATAAAAAATTATCACAAAAATATTACACTGGTGAAACACTTGTGCTATTTTAATATGATAAATACTACACATTACTCTAGAAAAATAGTATAAAAACTCTAGGCCCGTTTGTTTGGGGTTATAGGGAGGGGATTGGGTTTGATAGTGAGGAGGGGATTGAAAATGGGGTGTTTGTTTTGAGAGATTGGGAGGGGATTAGTAATCCCTTGGTATTAGCAAGGAGGAGGAAGGGGGATTGGTAAGGAGGAGGTAGAGATGGTATTAGAACAATAATGAGGGGATTAGAAATTTTTATATTTTTTTTATTTTTTATATATTGGGAATTTTTTTTAAATATAATGTTTAATTTTTTTATATTTTTTTATTTGTTTTATTATTTTATATAAAAATAATTTAACAATTCCTCACTATTAATCCCCTCACTAACAATCCCCTCACTATGAATCCCCTCCATTCTATCTCTGAAAACAAAAATTCGAATTATGAATTTAAATAAAAATTTAGAAAGAAAAAAAATTTGACATATATTTATATTTTATTCACATTTCATTTATCATTTTCAAATCCCTACATAAATTCATAACTCAAAAACAGCATATA